CAAAGTCACTATTGTCTTTTTCACTTGGTTTATCTGTTAACTTTGCCAACTCTGCATAGTTCATCAACTTCTCTTGCCATTGTTCGTTTGGTGGTATTTCTCCAGTCTTCCAGTTCTGTGCTATCAGAATTCGTGCTGCTGTTGTCGCATACATAAATAATGTCCGTTTTTCTTTCAGCAGTTGTCCTAAAATTCCTATCAAAAAAGCTTCTGGTTAGTGCCACACTTTTTAACAACAACAAAAAGAGGTGCTGGTACTGCGTATCCTTGAGTACTGCCTGCAAAAAACACACTGTGCAGTACAAATTTAGTGTCAAAGGATAGCTCAGATGGTAGAGCCTGAGATTCTTAATCTCAGGGTTGTGGGTTTGAGCCCCACATTGGGCAAAAAGATCCCTGCATTGCAGGGTTTGGACTAGATGACCCTTGTGGTCCCTTCCAACTGTACAATTCTATGATTCTATGAAAGGGCCAGATGTGTGCAAGTAGGCCTCTCCCATGTGATCCACGCCCTGGGTAGTGTGTTTGCCTGTATTTGTCAGGGGCTGGACTGAGGAGAAGTGGTGGGGGCCGTCCCCTCTTCTCCTGAACCTTCCCGAGAACAGGAGGACGGTATAGATTTAGAACAGTGGTTTGCAGAAGGGCATAGCTCAGAGGCTGCAGAGGGGAAAAGCTGGGAAATATTGGGAGAGGAATAGCAGGAAGAAGAAGCACCGGTGGAGAGACAGCTGACAGATTCAGTCTTTGGAGAGCATTCCTGAGCCCCCCTCTCCCAGGACTAGGCGTGCATTGAGAGTAGAAGAACAGAAAGCTCAAAGGCAGAAAGCCCAGATCAGCCGGTGCAGGGATGACTTAGGATAAGAGAGATGGAGGGGTTGGGCTTTACTTGGAGCAACGCCATTATTTAATAGGGGCTACATTCCTCTCTCTCTCTCTCTCTCTCTCTCTCTCTCTCTCTCTCTCTCTCTCTCTCTGAATACTGAATAAATTACATGGTAAGGACTCTTCTTGTTTACCTGCTTTTTTGGCTGCCACCAGGGGAGGGATAGGATTCCCTGAACCGTGACAGCATTAATTTACAGCCCTTTCAGACTAATGCAGCAACGGGAGGGGCCTTGTCCACCGTTCCCCCCAGAATGCTACTCTTATGTCACGACGTAGCTCCACCCCAAGTGCATTATGGGGAATTAAACATGGCAGCCAACATTATAAAACAAGCATAGTCTTAGCAAGCAGTCAGGAGAAAGGCTGGTGAGATTGCCACTCCTGTCCTTTTAGCTCCCCCCTACAAATAGCTGTCATTTTCTCTCACACAGGCAAAGCCCTAGCTCAGGTAACTTCACTTGCCACTTTGCCCTTTCTTATCATGATTGCACAACAGCTTTGCAAGATGCCAAGGTGTTGCACTTAACTCCATTGACAATTGTCGATGTAGCAGCAGTGGCATATTTTGCAGCAGTGGCACAACTTCTCTTCTTGGTGCAGTTTATCATAGCACTGCACTTTATCATAAACTCTTAGGTTGCAACCCCCAGCGGTCCCACTCTGCACAAGCAAGCTAGGTTCACCTGGTGCCACCTACTCCGGAAGAAATCAGACTGTGAGCTCAGAAGTCTCCAACTGGCATCATCCATCACAAAAGGACCAAGCATTCCTTAGGCTGCAATGCCAAACATAGCTTCTTGGAAGTAAATGCCACTGGAATCAATAGAGCTTAGAAGGAAATTTGTTTAGCAGCTGGAATGCTGTTTGCTGGTGTGCTCACTCACCGGCTAAAAAACACCCTGCATATCTTTTAAATCTTCACCGCATCTCAAAAGGCATGGAGCCTAATTAAAAATACCTACAAGGAGCAGCTTTTATTTGTAAGAAACCAAATTTGTTCATGGTGAAACGGGTCAATTTTCTAATCAGTCAGGATGAAACTCACCCTCCATCAATTAAAATTTACTTGTAAAGCAGGGAGGGAGAAATAGGGTAGTGTCCTCCCTGGACGACTAGTCTTTATCATTTAATTTGTTGAGAGTTTAAAATTACAGTAATTGTCCTGAAATCACTGACATTATTTGACACTGTAACAACAGAGAAGTGGGAATGAGTGACAAATGCACAAAAGACATTTGTTACCTTTGTTTGTCTGAATAAATCTCAACAAGCAGTGTGGAGATTCAAATTTTATAGCATATTTAAATTGTCATTAGATGGTCAAACCTATTGACTTTAAGCGGCGTTTTGCTGACAATGGAAAACGGTGATATCAGATTCTAAGTGGCGTGACTCATCAGCAATCCATATGTGAAATTATAACCTCCAGATATGAAATTGGAGTAAACAGATGGGATTAGCCCGAGTGATAAAGCAGGTTCTTTTTCTGTAAACATCGTGGCCTTTCCTGATCTTTCTTTTTATTTCATTTTATCTTTCTGAGATGATATGTGTATAATATTTCAAATGCTTCAGCCTCACCTAGCAATGCTAGGTTGCAACAATGGAATTAAACAAAAGAATGTTGAAGATGTCGTTACATGAAGACTGGAATATTTGCAGCCAGGTTCGTGACTGCCAAGTGTGAGATGATTCAAGCAGTTTGCTCAGTTTGTTCACAGAGCAGAACGTAACATAAGGCTTGAAGGCCTCTCTGTGCATAGGCATCTGTCTTCGTGCAGGTACACTAAGCGCAGAACTAAGCTCTCTGCTGCTTCATCTGCTTAGGAATGTGAGCATGCTTTATACCTGGGTCAGACTACTAAGCTGGCAACCCTAATTGGCAGCCATTCTCTGAGGGCCTTTGCCAGACTTGCAACCTACAACCTGTGGTTGAATCTGGGACAGTTGAGCAGGTGTGGAGAACTTTTGCCCCTCCAGGTGCAGAGACAGGCTTAGGGCAGCATGGTCAGTTCCGTCACACTGAGCACTGAGCCTAGGGGGTGCTGCAGCTATGATGTAGTGAATTGAGTATAATGCAAGGTGAGAGGCGACAGAGTGCCACTGAAATCTGAAAGACCAAAGTCCGCCTGTGCCAGGTGTGGCTGAGCTACAACTCCCAGCAACCCCAGCAAGCATGGCTAGAAGCCAGGGGTGATGGAAGTTGTAGTTCAGCAATATCTGGACGCATAAAGGTTCCCCGCATGTTTCTCCTGAATCAGTTCCCACCACCTTTACACGATGTGGTCAGATTACCACCCATAAAGGTAATGAGAAATATTTCCATCTTGATATGCCTTTTGTACACTCTCCTCGCCTAAAAAAATACGTTTTATGCATTTTGCACTTCTTCTTTTTATGAAGCAAAAAATAAATGCAAATAATGATGATTATAATGATGATGATAATAGCAAGTGATATATATATGCCTCTTTTTGGTAAGTATTTTTGGAATGCATTTCTGTGCATGCTCTCTTTAACTGAAACTGCTTTGCAAAATTTGGAGAAGTGCAAAATCTGATGGATAGGTGCATTCTGACCCACCTACACATCTGGGACTGCTTGAAGAGGTGGTCAAAAAAAAAGTCTCTCCAACCTTGTATGCATCACAACAATTCTTCCTTGATGATATAAAAAAAGAAACAATGTTGCCCAAGACAGGGAAGACACGTGAGTTACTTTTTAAATATCTTGTTGGACTTTAAAAAAGGTTTTTAAAAACCTTGTGTGTGCGTGTGCTGCAGGACACATTTCAGTGCTGGATGTATCTACTATAAGGAAGGACAGAAGATTCAAGCATAAGGGGCCTTTTCTTTTGAACGTTACTGTGTGCAGATCATTCTGATAGGATCAGTAAACTTCCGAAAGCCTACAGGGCAAATTGAGGTAATTCAAAGACTTGTTTGGTAAAACAAGGGCAGGAAAAGCTCACAGCCTTTCATGCAAGAGGGGAAAGAAAGGGGTGGGGGGTGGGCAGGCATCTCCAAAGGGATTATTCCCTTGTTGATTCCATTCAAAGGGAAGAAGAGAAACAGTGTCCTGACAATGTTTTTCCTTGTCTCCTCTTTATACCTATGTTTGCTCTACTCTGTTTCAGCCTGCGGAGAAAGCAAAGTTCACTGTGGCCAAAGGATACATTCAAGGCAGTCTGAAAAGTTTGCCAGAGATCTCTTTGAGCGAGAGCCATGTTGCATCGGATGATGAGTTTTGCAGATACAGGAGAGTCACAAAGAGGGGGACATCCAAAGGAGCTTTAGCACACGGTCTTTACTTCTGCCCTGTCCCAGTCACTGCCAGCTTTATGGATCATAGCAGTGATGTGTTTCCACTCCAGACATACACAGTGCTTTGAAAAATGATGAGTAACAAAGTCCTGGCAGCTGGTACCCAGAAGAAGTACATAGCTAGTAGCCATTTGTAGCATTATCCTCCATGAGTTGTCTAATCCTGTTCTATAGCCTTCCAACCTTGTGGCCATCACAGTGCCTTGTGGTAGCAAATCCCATAGCTCAAGTCTGCACAGTGAGAAGAAATACGTCCCTTTGTCCTGAATCTCCCAGCAGTTAGCTGAGCAACAGGAAAACGCACTGAGAAGTGTGGAATGAACAAGTGATTAATGGGAAGACGTATCAACACCTGGCAAGCAAAAACGGGATCAATGCAGGATGAATAATCTCCCTGCAAACAAATCGGAACAGGTGCACAATAAAGACATGATATAATCTAACCTCCGCAAAAGCATTGTGCAAGCAAATTAGAATGAATGCTCACTAAATAGGTCATATTGGAGGTTGGGTTCTTACCGTCATTATTGTATAAATGGAATATTATGTTTGTGAGTACAATCTAACACCATTTTATATGCACTGGGGTCTTGTGTTTAAGTTTGGTGTTGATCTGGTGTGAGCACTTTTGGAAGGCGAGTCAAAAGTGGTTTTAAATAAACAACACAGAGGTATTCGGCTGCATCTCTCCACAGAGTAAAGGCATAAGCTACACTGGTTTAAGTTAAGTTGACTGAAGATTTGAACTCTCTTCTTCCAGGTCCCAGTCCAACAACAGCACACTGGCCCTCATGTCTACAGTACCTGGTGTTCCCGAGAGGTCTCCCATCCAAACACTAACCATGCCTGATCCTGCTTAGCTTCCAAGAGCAGATGAAATCAGGCATGTTCAGGGTGCTGCTTATCTCTGTTTAGCACAATGTAATGGAAGCAGCTCCAACGTGGAGAATTATGTATCAAAATAATTGATGCTATTAGCTGGGCCGCCTCTGAATCTGCTGGATCATGCATACTGGAAGAGCAGCTGGATTCAAGCTATTATACTTGGAATACATTAATGGGGGGGGGGAGCTGAGAGGGGGACACCTTGCAACTTCTGCAATCTCTGCAGTATGTTAAACTGCAGGCCCTGTTTGTCAACATCCTATTTGGAGCTGCTTAGTAACTACCTCAAGTAACCCCAATCAATGCGCATAATGCTGATTCTGTATGGGACGACCTGCTGTTTGTTGAATCTCAAGTGTCCCATTTACATTTCTCAAGGATAACTGGGAAATTTGATGTTTGCCAAATATGACACTGAAGGACACTTGACTGGCATGGATTAGTTCACCGATACGTTTTCACCAAATGTTCAGATTGTCACTTGATCAAGTTCTGCATTTTGCAGACTTGCATAGTTTTCCTTTGCATGCCTAGGAATGGACAAATTTGTCAATTTCCGTTCTCTATGTTTCTCATTTCCCCCACACTTAAATTCAGTTCACCCCATAACTGCAGGAATTTGCCATCACCTCCACTAACATATACTGTACATTGTTTTGCATATTTCCCCCCAATATATGCAATTTTTGCACATATGGCCTGCTTTGCAATAATCAGAGTAGGGCATATTCCAAAAGATAGATGCTGTCTTTTGCTTTGCATACTAATTCATAGAACCATAGAATTGTGGAGATGGAAGGGACCCTGAGGATCATCTAGTCCAACCCCCTGTGATGCAGGAACATGCAGCTGTTCCATATTGGGATCGAACTTGCAACCTTGACATTATCAGCACCATGCGCTAACCATGCTCCAGCCAGATGAGCTGTCCAGGCAGATGAGCTGAAGTTCTCCTCCATCCCAATCTGTGCCAGCCTAAATGCACAGATCTTCCCCTTCCTTCCTTCCTTCCTTCCTTCCTTCCTTCCTTCCTTCCTTCCTTCCTTTCTACATGTATCGGGTTTTATTACCTTACAGAAAAGGTAATAAAAAACATGATTCCTACAACTGTCAGCAGCAAATGATTCATAAATCAGATGGAACCAAGACAGGGCAAGAAGAGCACTTAATCAGAACTGTTAGGATATTTCCGTTCCACCTTAAAAGGGAGCAGGCTTTGTGAGTCAGAGTCTGCGTATTTCCTGTTTCCACAGGATGTTTCTGTTGTGTCTTTTGTTTTCTATTGCTTTCGTTTCTCTCTCTGTGTCTGGAGACACTGATGCAGGCAGTCATGTTTTTCTTTGTTCTGATCAACGCTGAATAAAACTTGTAAATAATGCTCTCCTGAGTGCAACTTCTGCTGTGCATTATCTGCTGATAGAGAGTGTGCATCGGCTCTAGAATGTTCTGGAGCTCATGTCGCTAATTGCTGATACTGCGTGTCTACGGGAGATCGATGGATCGTCCGGCAGCCGGCTTGGGGGCCATGATGGACTTTATCTCCCTGGCAGTATCCCAATAGCATGTGTCATGCTATCTTGCAACAGTCACCACACAGAATGTTTTTTAGTTGTGCGGCAAGTGAAAAGTTGGCCAACCTGCCAATAATTATGTTAAGTTCAAAAGAGGTTTGTTAGAAAGCCATTAAGTGGTGGTCATCATTTACCCAACTGCTGCTCAAGGCCGGACTATTCATATACATAATTCACTAAGGATCCTTAAAAGGTAAAGGTAAAGGTACCCCTGCCCGTACGGGCCAGTCTTGCCAGACTCTAGGGTTGTGCGCTCATCTCACTCTATAGGCCGGGAGCCAGCGCTGTCCGCAGACACTTCCGGGTCACGTGGCCAGCGTGACAAGCTGCATCTGGCGAGCCAGCGCAGCACACGGAATGCCGTTTACCTTCCCGCTGGGAGTGGTCCCTATTTATCTACTTGCACCTGGAGGTGCTTTAGAACTGCTAGGTTGGCAGGCGCTGGGGCCAAACGACGGGAGTGTACCCCGCCGCGGGAATTCGGACCGCCGACCATGTGATCGGCAAGTCCTAGGAGCTGAGGTTTTACCCACAGCGCCACCCGCGTCCCTAAGGATCCTTAAAATCACATAATAAAGTCGGAGCAATTCACATTCAGCTAAGCACTCGATCTATTCAGCAAACACCCCCCATCTAGCCGGTTCCATTAGTATAGCATGATAAGTAGGCATTGCACTGCTGTTTAGATGGGATGGGAAGGGAGGGGGAATCAAAAGCCCACAATGTAAAACAAAATATGAGGTGGTCAGTAGCAGCAAGAACCGGCACAACTGGCGACACTTTAATTAATTCTAAATGGTGCTTTTCAGGGTGTTAAAAGCTCAGGCTACTGAAGTGGAAAAGGGGAGTTAGTTTGTGTCTTGATATACTGGCAACCTTACTAATCTGAGCAAACTCATCTCAGAGGCTTACATCAGTGACTTGGAATGTGGAGGCAGAGTTTTCCTAGGATTGGGAGCACACTCAAACCATTTTACAGCCCAGCTTGCTGTGGCTGGGAGCATCTTGACCAAGGAGGTGGGAAGATTTTAAAATGTCTGGGCTGGATCCACATTACAGCCCTTTGCGTTTGTGAGGAAGTGCAGGGGTGGGATTTAAAAGCATTTAAAGCAGGATCACACCACTATAAATGCATAGTTCTGGCTTCCCCCAATAATCTTGGGAAGTGTGGTTTGTTAAGGATGCTGAGAATTTTGTTGTTGTTTAGTCGTTTAGCCATGTCCGACTCTTTGTGACCCCATGGACCAGAGCATGCCAGGCACTCCCATCTTTCACTGCCTCCCACAGTTTGGTCAGACTCATGCTGGTAGCTTCGAGAACACTGTCCAACCATCTCGTCCTCTGTCGTCCCCTTCTCCTTGTGCCCTCCATCTTTCCCAACATCAGGGTCTTTTCCAGGGAGTCTTCTCTTCTCATGAGGTGGCCAAAGTATTGGAGCCTCAGCTTCAGGATCTGTCCTTCCAGTGAGCACTCAGGGCTGATTTCCTTCAGAATGGATAGGTTTGATCTTCTTGCAGTCCATGGGACTCTCAAGAGTCTCCTCCAGCACCATAATTCAAAAGCATCAATTCTTTAGCGATCAGCCTTCTTTATGGTCCAGCTCTCACTTCCATACATCACTACTGGGAAAACCATAGCTTTAACTATACAGACCTTTGTTGGCAAGGTGATGTCTCTGCTTTTTAAGATGCTGTCTAGGTTTGCCACCTGGAGGAGGAACCGGCAAGCCACTCCAGTATCCCTGCCAAGAAAACTCCATGGACAAAGACAACAGGCTGAGAATTTAGGAGACCCCCAACTCTGCCTGGTTTTCTTGATCCCTTGCAGGCTTTTTGGGTAGGATTTGAATGATTTTAGGAGTTTTACTTATCGGATATCAATTATGCAGTAAACAGTCTGAGTTGTGGCAATGAGGGGGAGCAGGTAAATATATGGCATTTTTTGGACTACTGATGGAATTTGATGCTGGATGTAGAGCAGTGTTTCCCAACCTTTGGTCTCCAGCTGTTTTGGGACTACAATTCCCACCATCCCTGACCACTGGTCTTGCTAGCTAGTGATGATGGGCATTGTAGTCCAAAAACAGCTGGAGACCCAAGGTTGGGAAACACTGGTGAAGAGTGATTTGAACCAGGGACTTTTGTTCTCACAGTTCACCTTCTCAACTCCTGTTCTACCCTGGCATGTATATATTCGGATACTACAACAGTTCTGCACAACGTTACCACCTCTTAAGGAAGTCAGCCTGGCTTTTTAAAGAAAGTAATAGATTCAGAAGTAGCTTTGAAGGTTTGAAGGGAGGAGAAAGAAATAGGAGGAACTAAGCTCTTCTTAGTTATAGAGTTGTGAACCACCCTGAGATCTACAGGTGATGGGTTGTATACAAATTTTGATGATGATGATGAATAGAAAGATTTAAGATTTCAAGAAGAGAAGGAAACCAAAGTTGCTGGTCTCTAAGCTGAGTCAATGGAGAGGTCCTGCAGCCCCATCTCTCTCCATCTCCTGCAGCCTGGTGCTGTTAAGAGTAGCTGCTGATAGCTAGTTTATAATTACAGGCATGCAATTGCTTCTGTTCAGCAAAGTCCTGCAAAGTTATGAGTGCAAAAGTCCCACTGATTTCACAGCTGTGTGCTGAACCACGGCCTTGAAGATTTATGAATGAACATCTTCTTCAGGGTCCATTGCCTTTTGTTTACTGAGGTTAAGCAAATGATTTCTTAAATGCCCTTTATGGAAGCATAAAGGGATGAATCTGTTCCTCTGGTCATATAAATACCAAACTGATCTTAAAAAAGAAAGAAAGCCTGTTTTACCTGTTATGCCATTTTACTGGAGAGGGAATAAGTACTAAATTGGAGAGGAGAAAAAGGAGCCCATTTTTCTTGAGTGTATGCCTGCTATTGGGGGGAAAAACATGCTGCATCATTGTTCATAAATGGAGGGGAAATTTCCCTCAGCATAGGAAGGGAAATTTTATTAGAAGGAGTGGAAGCGGCATTTCCTTTTCAAAAAGGGGAAAATACTCAATAAGCAATAAATCAGTTAACACTCAGGTTTTCCTGGTTTCAAAATAGTCGCACTTCTAAAATCTTTAGGTTGCCTCCCCAGGCTGTATTTTCTGTAAAGGTAGTTCCTCAGTCTTCCTCTCTGAGAAAAGGAAGATGAGAAGCTGAAGAAAACACACACTCTCTTGTTATGAGTTGGGGGAGTGGGTCTGGATGACGCCCTGGTCCCTTCCAGTTCTTGCGATCCTGTATTTGTGAGGCTAGGCTGTATAGGAGGGAACCTATGTCTAGGAAAATGCTTTAAGCCTTTAGCCAGCCAATTAAATGCTCATCAGCATCTCAGATAATGAGCTAAGTGATGGTGCTCTCCAGGAAGCGGGTAGGCTTATCCCCCACCCCACTCACCTGGCTGGTGGCCACATGATCCTAGGTAGAAGAGCAATAGCCAGGG